ATTTATTTATTTATTTTTAATTTGACCACAGAGGGACATTGCAAGAGATAGAGAGAAAAAAAGCAAGAAAGCGAGCCTCCAGGCCCGGGACTCAAATCACAATCAACCATGTGGGAATCCAGGGTCCTTAACAACCACTCCAGCAGCCAACCCTGAGATTTTATTTTTAAATAATTATTCATTTATTTAATTGTATTTGTCATTATTATTATTTTTTAAATTTGACACACAGAGGCAGAGAGAGAGAAAGGGAAAGGGAGAAAATAAGCCACCAGGTCCAGGACTCAAACTACACCAGGCATGTGGGAACCCAGTGCCTTTAATCACCATGCCACCTGCTGGCCTCGAGATTTTTAAAAATTATTTATTTTACTTTATTTATTCATTTTTTAATTTGACCAGAGAGAGACACAAAGAAAGAGAGAGGGAAAGTGAGAAAGCAAGCCACCAGTTCCAGGACTTGAACCATGGTTGGTCATGTGGGAGTTGCAGTATACCAAACACCATGCCACCTGCTTGTCCCACCAAGATTTTTTTTTTTTTTGAGAGGTTTTTGGTATAAGGGGCCTTCGGCGACAGACAGAGACAGACAGAGAGATAGAAAGTGAGAAATTCCCCCGGGGGGGTGGCCACGCCATAATACCTTCTCCTCCATTCTTCTCTCAGGATCCTGGGCACGCACGCACACGTGCCCAGCGTAAGTTCAAGCCACCGGGTCCGGGACTCGAACCGCGGTCGACTACATGGGAGTCCAGCGACATAGCCATTACACTAACTGCTGGTCCCCCACCAAGATTTCTTTTTTTAAGGGATTTTTGCTATAGTGCTTGAGCACTCACCACAGAGAGAGAGAAAAAGTGAGAAACCACCGTGTGAGGAATGGCCATGCCACAATCCCTTCTCCATTCTCTGTGATTTTAGGCATGTATGCACATGCACCCTGCATGAGTTTAAAGCTGCCAAGTCTGGAACTTGAACTGTGGTAAGCCATGTGGGAGTCTAGTAATGTAACCATTATGTCATCTGCTGGTCCCAGCCTCTCCATTCCTAAAGCCAATATTGAATTCCTTGTCCTCATCCCTTTTTTTCTGTCAAAGTGGATCCTTGCCCAGAGGGTCACTTCCTGTTTTGTTGTGTCTCCCGCGAACCTCGGAACATCCCTGTCTCTTTTTCCTGTCTCCTGTTGGTCTCTCACCAGCTCCCTCTGTTAGTCCCCTGAGCCCTGTTCTCACTGTGCTGTGGCCTAGGGCTTCTTCCCGGAGTGTTTCAGCGCTGGCCACACGCACTGCTTTCCTTCCTGTCACATCTCATGACTTCGAGTCCCACCTCCAAGTCTCCGTTTCCCGGACACCCCTACCTTGAGCTCTCAGATTCTGTGTCCAGCGATCTCCTCAGCTCTGCTGGAATCTGTAACGGCACCGCCCTGCTCACACGTCAGAGTGACAGGGACGCAGGGTGATCAAGTCCAGCACTTGCAGTGAGACACGGGTTCTTGTCCCACGCTCAGAAGGAATTACAGTGCTAGCGCCCTACTGCGACCCCTCCTGCAGCCCCCCACAGTGTTTAGTTTCATACAAGGGAACTTGTTTCCCCTAGAGTCACACTCTGAGCTTAAACCGGGTCACGTTAGTAGAATGCATCTCCCAGGGAACATGCCTGAGAGATGGGATAAATCGGACCCATAGTGACTGCGTTACAGGATTGTTGAAATGGATTTGCTATGGCCAGCAGGAGCCCTGGTGGTTAAGGCGCTGGGACTTCCCATTTGGCTGACCACGGTTTGAGTCCTGGACATGGTGGGGAATGTATGTGTCCATGTCCAAAAGTTCTTTTTTTTTTCTTGGAGAGGTTGTTGCTATAGGGTGCGTGCACTCGCCAAACAGACAGACAGACACAGAGAGACAGAAGGCGAGAAATCACCCCCCAGGGGGAATGGCCACGCCACAATTCCTTCTCCTTCATTCTCCTCTTGGGATCTTGGGCACGCACGCACATGCGCTCAGCGTGAGTTTAAGCCACCGGGTCTGGGACTCAAACCATGGTCAACTACGTGGAAGTCCAGCGACATAGCCGTTACGCTAACTGCTGGTCCCTCCATGTCCAAAAGTTCTAAGAGAAGGATGGAAGAGAAGGGATTGGACACAGCTATCCCCCCCAGGTGGATTTCTTACTTCCTGTTTCTCTGTCTCTCCAGTGAGCGCATGTGCCCTAGAGCAAAAATCTCTTCAAAAAAAATTGAAATGGATTTGCTGAGTCAGAATGGAAGCTGGCTTCTGTGAAAACTTGAACGTAAGTGAGCTTTGGGTACCCTTACATGAGTGATTCCCCTGTAGAGAGACACTGCAGACTGGGTGGAGGCAAAGTCCCTGACACAGGAGAAACCTGGACCCTGTC